CCTCCTCCTCTCCTCCCCGGCCCACAATCCCGAAACAACCCGGCAACAAAAGATACCAATCCACCTGATCCAAACCAAAGACACAAAGGAGGAAACTACTTACACCCTTTCACAATCAACAACCACTTAACAAAACTCTCAAATCCGCAAGAAGGTTTTTGCACTGCTGCTAAGCTGTAAAGACACTTGACTAATGCAGTTGCCCATTGATTTCATTCTTATTGTTTCCTTGAAACTTCCTCTTTTCCTGCCTCAGTCTCAGGCTAACATCAGAATGGTTAATTTCCACCAGCTCGCCTGCGCACTCACTACAATAACGGAAACAATGTTGGCGATTTGGCGTTTGTTTGCCTTCAGAGTTCATTACAGCAATTTACACTGCAACGTTATGTTGTAGACATCGTTAGCGTTACAGTGATTATGAACTTCTTTCTCAAGTGGGAGGCGGGCAAAAACCCATAATGTGTGTGTATGTATGTGAAAAAAGGGGGGGGGGGGGGGAAGGGTGGACAAACTTCTAATTCAAACCCCACAAAAAAAAAAAAAAAAAAAGTTTTTTTTTTTTTTTTTTTTTTTTTTTTTTTGCGCGTTGCGTCGGCGTCGCGGCGTCTGCGGAAAGAGGGGAAAAGTGCCGCGATGGCCCTGGAGTACATTTTTTATTTTTTATTTTCTTGTCGTACTTTTTTGTTTGCTATATTTTGACGGTCGCGCCAGCAAAGCTACCGGCTTTTTTTTTTTTTTTTTTTCGGCGCCGATCATGTTTTTGTTTGTGGTGATTTTGTTTATGATGTTTATTATGCTCCTTGTTTTCTGTAGCTGGTTGAATATCTTTTTTTTCTGTGTGGTACATCTGCGAAAAATATATAAACAGAAGTTTATATGACTGACCGTTAAAAATATTGTTTTCAGAGTGAGGCAATGGCAACAAACGTCGACATGAAGGGAATCAGACTGGGGTTCTGCTCGGATTTCTCGTGTACAGAGCTCTACCGGGACCCTCTGCACGGTGGAACGCACCACCCTGAGTGATGAGTCTACTGCGGCCACTCGCACACGGCCCACAATGAACTCGGTAATTATGAACTTTTTGTATTCTGGTATGTAGGTAGGCTTGTATTCTGGTATGTAGGTAGGCTCTATTTACGTTCTGTTGACATATGCGTTGCTTCTGAAAAAAAGAATAAATGAATGACTTGCGCCGAAATGTCAACAGAAATATATTTTTTTTTTATTTGATTATGTTGCTTTTTAAAACATGCATTAGATCTCTTCTGCAGCTTCGAGCCGCAAATGCAATCCCTGCTTTCCAAAGCACATGGGACTTCTAATGTTCATCTACTTCTAAATGCGTTTTCGTTTTGTCCTGGTAGTACAAAAACGATTCGCGTAAATTACTTAAAACAGCAGTCTATTCTCGTACCAAAAATTAATAGTAGCAGAAGTTACGTCATAAGCTAATTTCACTCGCTATTTCATCGTATACAGATTGGGCTCCGAATCTTTGAACTGTTTGCACTTTAATTTCGCATTTGTTTCCTACCGCCTGCTTGAAAACAGGTGGAAGCGCTTCATTACCTTCATTCTAATTCCAACTCTCTGTATATAAAGGAAAACAATATGGTCTTTCATTCAACTAAAGGTGGATGCACAGCTTCGGTTCCATAACACGATCGTCACCATGCTGAAGAAACTGGAGGAGGTAAAAGGGGCCTTCTGCGGAGACAACCCAACAACATTCTTGAACATGAAGACCATTCTCCGGTCTCGATTGGCCAGAAGTCCTCTCATCGCCTATGGTATGTGAAAAAGCGAATGCAAAAATAGAAATGTAAGTTTGACGCTGACGCGCTGACGCTTTTTTTTTTTTTTTTTAACAATTGCTGCTTGCAGGACGATTTTATTCCTGACGAAAAAGTTCCAGGACCCAAGACTTTCTTCGGTTCGGAGAAACGGATCGTTCTGGGAACTGGTCAGTGAAACTCTCCGCTAGCACGACTATGGAGGGGGCACCAGTCATGTGCTTATGGGTGTATTACATAACGGGACTCTCCTACCCTGTGGCATGTGGACAAAACCTTGGACTCCTCTAAATTATGCTCGTTGAAAATAAAGTCTTTCGATTCAGTTTATGTCGGAGAAGCTCAGAAAATTGCTTATGACCGTTCGAAAACAACAGGAATTCCGAGCTTCTGCCGATGACAAGAGACGCCGAATAATTCGTTTTTAATGCTATGAAGTAGGTAACTACGCTCCAAAAAAAAAGCACAGGAATCTACTTTCCCGAACAGCACTTGGAAAGTCAATCACCGTAACTCACGGAAGCAGCTCAGCGAATCACGATGCCGAAACATAAGATTAGACAAAAAAACCCAGTCTGAGTTGTGACATTAAGCAATGCAAAACGTCACGCTTGTTGTGGTTAGTGTCGCAACTCATTTTTTTGGTATAATCATATGTTTCGGCATCTACATTCGCTGAGCTGCCTCCGAGGGGTATGGTGATTGTCTTTCCAAGTGTTGTGCGGGAAAGTAGACGCACGGGCTTTTTTTTAGAATGTACTTATTTTTTGTGTTATCCGCTAAAAAAAAAGTTGTTTTTTTCAGCACGATTGTATTGTTATTGTTTATGATAGGCAAAAGGAGTCACTTTGCAGCACGAACTATTTTGTGTGATTGTTTCCAAGAAACGCCAATTTCTGGCGTCGTTCTAACGTCTTTTTTATCTGTAAAAGCTACCAAGACATCGTTATAAAATTACTATTTTGATAAAGACATTTCAAAATATTTTCTTGTGTCATGGCGGTGGCGACTGCGCACGGAGGGAAGACACCGGACGCTCGGATAGAGTTTACTAGAAAGTACGAGTGGGAGGAGCTACAGGCTCCCATCATATGCTTCCAGTTGCACCTCAAAATGTGGAAAGCGATCAGGTGAAACCAAATTTACTATACTTTGTTTCAGCTTAGGTTCAGACGCAGCCGATGCTACAAGCGCGAGCTCCGGGCTTTCAGCGTTCCTACCAACCAAGCACGCGCGCTCGTGCAGCACATACACTGTTTAGGCCTACGTGCTCGCGCTTGTAGCATCGTCTGCGTCTGGACTTAAGCTGAAACGAAGTATAAAACACTCAGTTGGGAAACTCCCCGTTCAAACCTGGGCCGCTGGCGTCCACCGAGACCAAGCTAAATGCGACAACAGCGCCACTCTTTATCATTTGTCTTTACTGTGGTCACCCTGAGCTTTTAGAAAGCATGTTTTTCGTAAAAACCAACGGAAAAACTTTTTGGAGCAACTTTTATTGGAGTTTAGTACAAAATGAGGGGCACGTGATAATTTTAAAATATTTAGTTTGCAAAGTTTTGTGGCACAATTAATATAGCTTTTATACAAGCATGCCTCAGCGGTGATTTCAGGTAGCGCGTCCCGACCTAGGCGCATCCTAACTTCGGCACTTCGCGGCGCGTTCGCTTGGGAGATGAGGTTGGCACCCATTGTAACAACTCTCAATGGTGTCAAATATTTTTTTTTACCCTGAAACCTAAAGCCCCTTCATGCTTCAAAAGTCGCGTAATGTTCGTCGATGCACGAGGCACCTGCGACGTGCAGCCCTTGGGAAGATCATGGCGGCACAGCGCAGCACTGAGCTACACTGTAACTGAGCTAGATTTCAGACGCCATGTATTTCCCAGAAGTGGCACGCGGCACGTGCCTTGATAAATATTTTGAGTCAATCCTCCGCATACGTATTGTGTGAGTAAATATTTCTAGACCGGTACCGACAACAGTTTCTTTGTGTGAGGTAGCCTAAATGACAACTTCGCGGAAGTTGCGGAAAGCCCTACGCACTAAAACGTGCTTCTATTTCTTTTCTTTTTTTTTTTTTTTTTTTTTTTTTTTACTGCAAGGACACACTTTTACTTTCTTTATTTTTGCACAACAGATTTCGGTTTTGTTCTGATGGGCACTGAGTCTACAAAATATTTTTTTTCGTAAAAATTAAAGCTGGTCACCGGACATGATCGGTCGAATTTGTCTGAAAACACCCCATAATGAACCCGGTGCGATATAAATTACGATTTAAATAATCAAATTTTATTCGCCACCCAGCAAAGCTTTTATCGTTGGTAGGACAGCACATGATTTTTAGCGTAGTATTCGCAGTGGAATGACTGAGAGTGAAGTATATATTCTTCTACACCAAAAAACGACTTAGGTCTGTTGCAAAAGGTGCTCTAAAGGACTTGGACCAATCACATGACTAAGATCACGCATTCCAAATTTACAGTGAACATCACGTAAGATTGGAGTTCCGCGTTTATATTTTTTGAATAAATTCTTTGTGGTTACTGTGGGAAAAAGGTAATCGTGGAAAAAGGTAATCGTGGACGCTGCAGCAGGGGTGGTATCCTAGACCACGTAGACTGCACGTTCGGTCAGGGCCTCATCTCTTCTCAAACGTGGGCACACTGCACGGCCAGCTTGAACTCTCGGTAGTTTTATTAAATCTGTGCTTCAAGTTTGTTGCGGTAAAAGGGAAATTTCACGCCATATGGTGCGGACGATGCAATGCTAGCTTATCCAACACCACCTAGACAAAAGGCCTCCGCATGGTTTCCTCTTCTTCTATGAAACGTCATCACAGTCGGATCGCGCTCGGTCGGCTATTGGACCCGAGCCCGACCTTCGACGCGCTGATTGGCCACGAGCCGCAGCCGAACACTGACGCAGCACTCGTGCCCAATCTCTCGCCTCGATCGATCTGACTATGATGACGCGTGTGGAGGCCTTCTGTCCAGGTGGTGTTGGCTTATCTCACAAATGTCTGCAGTAAAGTCAAAGGCGCGTGCTGAGCAGAATGCTTTCGTTTGTACTAGAAGTTGTGCAAAGGAGGCACATTCCGAAGCCACGCGCTCGTGCCCATGCCTTTGTTTGTACCGTAGATGTTTCAACGAGGACGTCTGAATTTAAAATTTAAGTAGTCATGAAATGTTGCTGTTAGTATACTAAAAGCCAGGTTAATAAAGTTCACACGTTGTTACGCATCCAAGTATGTTGAAACACCGGCTATTAATTGCCCCAGCCAGTACTGTTCTTCGTAACGCGCACCTGCGGAACGGTCTTGTACAGCGGATAAAGCCCGGTGAGAATGGTGCCCGGTAACGTTCCGATCGAATAGCCGTCCCACATCTTCTTCCGCCTCGCTTCTCCGATGACCGAATGATCTCCGAGTCGCTCCACGATGTCTCCGGATCGTAGCCAGAGCTCCTTGTGGTTGAGGGCCCTGTGCTCGTACAGCACCCGTCTGGGCGGGAACTGCACGAAAGCGTAGAAGTAGTCCACATCCAGCGAGATGACCTGCATGCTGGCGTCTGTGCGGCGGGCTTGCATCAGCTCGTAGACGACGCGGCATACACCGGACGAGAGGGTACAGATGACCAGGTCGCACTCGGACAGCAGGGACACGTCCTTGAGGAGTGCCTTCAGGGCGTCCGGATTGTACCTGGTGTCGGGGTTCCTTGCCGTCTCCGAGGCTGCCTTGTCGCCCAGGAACACGTAGTTGGGGAACCTGCGGAATTTGGAAGTCACGATGAATGAGTGGGCTCGAAGAGTTTTGCTCACTTAGTGCCCGTATACTGACAAAATCAATTTAAACGCTTTTGCAGACGTACTGATCAATGATTTTAATACGAGCGGCACACAACCTGTATTTTTCTTAGTCATAAGAAATGCAGCTATGAATATGGCCATTTGTAAAATTAGACCTGTGTACGTACGACGGAGGCAAACTCATCGCGAGTTAAAAAATATGTAATCTTTAAATCGGAGACGTATTTAGCTGGCAGGGCACTTTCCTAGGTGTCCTAAAATCTAATTTTTAGGTACTTACATTGAACGTACTCGGAATTAAGCACGCAATTAATATCTAAAGTCTTTATTGCTTAGTATTGATGGGAAATTAACAGTTGTAGTAGATTGCACTTATATTTAAACAAGGTTTACGAATTGTTGCAATGTTTTTGCAGTGTGCAAAAAGATGTGCTCTCACAAAAGAAGTAGTTTTTCGTTGTTTTTCTTTTGTAACGGGCTTACCAACGTAGTTATATTGTGAACAACGAATCTTGCAACTTCGGCATTAGCTCGTTGCTGCAAAGACAGCGGTGAGAGGCAATTTATACATCGACAACGGATAGACGTCGTTCTTTAAAGGAGCTGTGCAACAATTTTTGTACTTTGCGCAAATACCGCTTAGAACGGATCCCTGACATTAATGACCTATAAAACACGCGTTCGTTTTTCACCCCACGCAATAGAAGTCCCAGAAAAAAATTTAAGAAAAACGAGCAGCGTTCACCCCCTCAACTCGCAGCCAGAACAAGCGGCCACGTGATCTGGAGCCGATTATATGCCGCCAGTGTTGATCATAGCCACGCGCTGGGGTTGGCAAAGCACAGGGCACGCGCTGAGTTCCAGACATTGTTATGGCTCGGCTGTTGTCGTCGTTGCAGCGATTGGACACGGGCCACTACCGGAATGCTTCTCGAGCTAGTAATTATCACGAGCCCAAATCGAGTGCCCACGCAATGCTCGGGTCCAATCTATGACCAGCATTCAAATATCGTCACTTGGGTGTACTGCGATCCCCGAGTTACGTCATCAAAATTTGCAAAGGAGAGATTGAATGAAAATGATCGCTTTTGTCCTTGAAATTACACCGCAACAAAGGAGTTACTTGGCAAGCGGAGTTGCGTGCGAGTATCCTTCACTCCCACTAGTGCCAGTAAGCTTGTGTATAGTGAAAAACATTCCAACTGAATATCGTTGCACAGCTCCTTTAACAGTCATCTTTAAGCCGTATGACTGCTATAACTACGTATGTACATTTCGAGTGTTCGGTGCCTTTGTGGAAGGAACTGCGACTAGCACGTGGCCTCAGGCAGTGCATCACGGAAATATATCGGAGTTACAGTTGCGCGGGCGAGGGGGTGGAAGTTTACCTTGATGATTTTAATCCAAAACTAACGTAATTTTATTATTATTATTATTGTGTAAGAGAAATAACAGGTACAGACACCGCGCGTGGGGGCCGCGATGGGAGGGGGATGGGAATTCTCCCCCTCTCCCCAATTGTTTACTTTTAATGTCTGAAATTTCTAGGGGGGGGGGGGGGCGATTGTGGGCCGGGGGGGGGGGGGGGGGGGGCGCCTTTTTGCCCCTTCCTGTTCCAACCAACGTTCTTAGATCTTTGACCTAGTAACATTGGTTCCGACGCCACATGTACGCGTGCCTGTGCCCTTGAAGGTTGCACACAACAATTGTGGGACCGTGAGATACTACGGCTACACGCGCTACGGCAGCAAAGCTACGAGCTCTGGTCCCGCCGCGCTCTTTCTGCGAATAGAACCAGCTTGCAGGAATCAGCTTGCAGGTATTCAACATTCCTGTAATGTTGCTATGTTTCGGAGTCACTGTACGAATATGAAGGAATGGCCTCATGTAGATAAACATATAGCAGGTATCCACAGTGTTACTTGATGTGGGCACCATTCTCTCTGCCGCTTTATGTCGAAGCTCACTTGTAGCGGAGTTCGGCGAAGACGTTTGGTTCGTCGGTGGCCACCAGCACCCTCCGGGGCACGGGTCCCATCGAGGCGAAGAAGTCTTCCACGTGCTCCATGTACTCCTCCACCTGGTGGAAGGACGCCTCGGCCTCCTTGTCCGTGCGACGGATGTGCAGCCTGCGCCGGGAGGTGATGTGTGTGCACCCTTCTCGATCGATCAAGCATGTGCCAAGAAATATCTTTACTTTTATCTTTCCCGTCACATACACTAGCGCCACTACACAAGCTACGCTTCGTGTATCCCTATTCCGTTCCCAAACTTCCTTGTGGGTGCCGCCATTTTGGTACGTAATGGAGGGCGGGTGCAGTGATCATTACAATACGAAAGAGCGAGTTCCCGAGCTTCAGTGTCAGCAACTCGAACTCGTGCAAGGAAACTGAAGTGATATACGTATCGTTTTGCTCTAAAGCGAACTGTTCTGACCTTTCTGCATCTTGAATATTTCTGAAATCGAAGGAAAGGGAGAGCGGTTTCCTGCGGTTTCAGATGAAGCCCCAGATAACTGGCAACAATGATTTTAAGTATCACGATGGTTGACGTGTTGTCACCCTGAAGCGCAACTTACCTAGTGACTCGAACATACATCATTCCAGTGTTTTCAAAACTAACAGCCCGTACGTGCTAGGTCACAGCCCAGCACGCGCATATTCGCCCGAAGCCGCCGGTGTGCGCGAGCACACGCAACCAAAATGACGTCAAAAACCTCCATTCGCGGTTAAGATGACAGTGAAATGTATGGGCTTCGGGCCAGAGGAGAATAAAGACAAGATTTTCATCTACACATCGCTATCATCATCATTGACGGCGCGCTTGTGGCCGTTGCACAACGAAGTAGCCGTCATAGGTAGCCGTTGCATCTGGCCAGTCTTGGGTAAGTTACTTTTTGTTGCGTTTTATTGCGTAAAATTAAAAAGTACGCTTTTTATTTCATATTGTAACTTAGTAGCAGTTGCTTCTCGAAGTTAGTGTTTGAAAGTTTCCACGCCCAGAGTAGTCGCGCAAATCAAAATACGTAACATGCGCAGTGCGGAGTAGTGGCGCTAATCAAAATACGAGACATGCGCAGTGCCCTCCACGTGTATTGTTGTTTCACGGTTGATTCAGCCGATTAAAACGCGCTTGCACAGAAAAAAGAAAAAAACATAACATAGATAGTGCTTCAAGACACTAAGATGTACGTGTTCAGTCACAAAGTATTAGCGCGTGCGTAAAGATAACTAGATATTTTTTCATAAAGTCTACATATGGGTATATTCGTGTCGTGACTCGCGGGAAAGAACGTATTCAAAACTCTGTGCAGGGCCAACTTGACACTCTAAATGTCGGAATAGACGATTTGGAAAGTGCAAGGAATGACTAAATTGCACTCGTTCAGTGATATGTTATTCATAAAACACTGGAAAGTAACGACAAAAGTAGCGTCGTTACTTTCATCGTTACTTCAGAAAAAAGTAATAGAACTACAGTTACAAGTTACATTTTTGAAAAGTAACTCGTTACAGTTACAAGTTACCAAAAAAGTAACAAAGTTGCAGTAACGCGTTACTAGTAACGTGTTACTACCCAAGATTGCATCTGGCCTACTGAGCTTACGGGCGTTCGTGGCGCTTTTTCTGACAGTAGCAGACGACTTTCAACTTGTTTCTGCTGCAGTTGGTAGTCATCGGCACATCTATTATTACAGTATGTACAAAGTTGCCCTGATTGTAGCCACCGGACTGTGGCGCCGACGAATTTCGGTTGTTCGAAACGCTTCGCGCTGTCAGCACAGCTAAGGCAGAAGCGTTTTACAATAATGCAAAGCGCATGCCAAAAAGGTCGTAGAGCTTTTCATGCTCAAATTGTAATTTTTACTGGCGAAAGGGCAAAAATTAACCAAAAACCATGCTGAACCTCGAGAGGAGTCGGGACTCGCAAGCAACCGCGGAGCAGCAGCAGACGAAAACGCGTGGAATAATGCGCCGGCAGCGCCACCTAGCTGCAAAAAATCGGACACTGTTTCGGACCCCCTCAAATGTGCAGCTTCTGTGGGAAGTTCCAAAACTGAGTTGATCTAGTAACGGTGGTTCAAAGTGCGTGCCTATCACTGTTGAACACGTGCGTTCAGTGAAGACATTGGTCTAGAGTAGGGTGCCCTAGTCTAGAGCGTCGGACAACGACATAAAATCCTACAGGTAGGACTGGCTGAATAGGCGCACGTGGCCTCTTCCGATCGTTTCAACCGCGCGATTCTTTGCTTGGAACACCCGTAAATCGGTGGGGCGTTCATATCTTCATAACTGGATGTTAATTCAAACAATTAGCAAGATCGCGCATGACTGTTGGTTTGTTGCACGTTTTTGTCGTTTCGGTTTTCTATGACGCTTTGCACACGCGCCAGATTGAGCCGCCAAAGCTGACCTTCTCCTGTTTTACCGAGATGCCGAGCCACCGAAGCGGGGTTTGTGAGCCTCCAAAGAGGTCTATGATGGGGAAAGGACGCAATATAGCACCTAAAGTCGCAATAACCTGTTCTGCTGTGGTAATGATGACGTGAAGCGAACGGAATAAGAGGAAACAAAAACTGAAGGTCGCTTATGGCGGCGCCCATGCACAGCTGCTGCAAAGCGTCTATTAGCGGCGAGATATTTTGGTGGCGCCCTCCTATGGTTCCCCCTTGTGACGTCATTACCTTGCGAACAACAAGTTCGATGGTGTTTGTAAATAGCATGGGGAAAGCTTGAAATCATTGAGCTCTTAAAGCAACACTGCCAACACCGTCAAAATGAAAGTTCTTTCATTCCTCTTATTTACGTCGATGATAAATCCCCTTTCCTACGTCATAGTCAGCGTTCGGCCAATCGTGGAAGGCCGACCCCAGCGACGCTTTCGGTCGCGCACGGGGCTAATACTCCGTTTCACCTTATGTTGTACCGCAGAGAAGGCTAGAAGCGCGAGCTCGTAGTGTTGGGAGCTGCTCTTAACGCACGAGAGCTTTTGCCGCCGAGAGGTGCCCTAGAGCAAAGAGCTCGCGCATGTAGCCTTTCGTGCGGTACATCATAAGGTGAAACAGAGTATAGTGGCGAGATGTTTCGGTGGCGCCTTCCAACGGTTCCCTTTCGTGATGTCATTATCTCGCGAACAACAAGTTCGATGGTGTTTGTAATGAGCACGGTGGAAGCTTGAAATCATGGCGCTCTGAAACCAACACTGCGAACACCGTCAAAATTAAAGTTCTTACATTACTCTTACTTCCGTCAATGAGAAAGTCTTTGCTGACATCATAGTCACCACTCGGCCAATAGTGGGAGGCCGACCACAGCGACGCTTTCGATCGCACACGTCGCCAATTGGTTCAGAGTCCAGACCAAGGACGTCATCAACAATAAAAAAAAAAAGTGCTGAAAATTCGTAGCTTCTTTCACCTATCATGTTTAAAATACATAAGATTTCTTTATTTTATTGTTAATGTGTTGCTAGAGTCCTGCACTCTCTAGTTGGAGAGAACGCGATGCAAATAATAATAATAAAAAAGACGAAAACCGCTATGAGCTCGCGCTTCTAGCCTTCGCTGCGGTACAACATATATAAGGTGAAACGGACTATGACTGATGGGGGTTCGCCTCAACACAGCGAAAGATGGGGGCGTCTGCCGCATCATGGCCCATCGCTAGCGCCCGCGAAGGACTTACTATTGTGGAAGATTGGGGGAGGAATCGAGAAAATATCGTAGCAGCAAACATTAGGGAGTTCGCCTCAACACAGCTAAAGATGGGGGCGTCTGCCGCATCATGGCCCATCGCTAGCGCCCGCGAAGGACTTACTATTGTGGAAGATTGGGGGAGGAATCGAGAAAATATCGTAGCAGCAAACATTAGGGAGTTCGCCTCAACACAGCTAAAGATGGGGGCGTCTGCCGCATCATGGCCCATCGCTAGCGCCCGCGAAGGACTTACTATTGTGGAAGATTGGGGGAGGAATCGAGAAAATATCGTAGCAGCAAACATTAGGGAGTTCGCCTCAACACAGCTAAAGATGGGGGCGTCTGCCGCATCATGGCCCATCGCTAGCGCCCGCGAAGGACTTACTATTGTGGAAGATTGGGGGAGGAATCGAGAAAATATCGTAGCAGCAAACATTAGGGAGTTCGCCTCAACACAGCTAAAGATGGGGGCGTCTGCCGCATCATGGCCCATCGCTAGCGCCCGCGAAGGACTTACTATTGTGGAAGATTGGGGGAGGAATCGAGAAAATATCGTAGCAGCAAACATTAGGGAGTTCGCCTCAACACAGCTAAAGATGGGGGCGTCTGCCGCATCATGGCCCATCGCTAGCGCCCGCGAAGGACTTACTATTGTGGAAGATTGGGGGAGGAATCGAGAAAATATCGTAGCAGCAAACATTAGGGAGTTTTCGTAGACCGCGTTTCCTCCTCTGCTAAGCCCTCCGCAACGAAGAAGCCGGTACTGCGCCTGCGCGCCGATGGCACTGACTGTAGAGTTCCGGGTACCGTAGCGGGTTGAGGAGAGCGTTGCGGGACGGCGAGAATGATCTACGAAAACTCCCTTGTCGGAAGAGGTAATATTCGGGGCCAGAGCTGCCGCTAGAACGATCACGGCACGTCGCGGAAGGCAAAGCTCGAACTTCGGCGATGGTGCACGTTGTAATGCCGCGGTGCCGATAAGACTTTCGTTGTGGCTCTTTTGCTTGAATTCGCGTGAACGTACTGATTGTCGTTTCTTTACTCTGAAGACAAAAACAAAACAAAAATATATTATTTTGTTCGAAGCGTTTATAACGAATGAAAAGTGTGCATGTAAATAATTTGCATCACTATCAAAAATATAAATAAGTAATGTGACATCGGTTTTGGTTTTTTTTCGGTTTCAAGGGTATATCCCCTCACGCGCATCTCAACTGGAATTGTTAGGCCTATGTACCGTGTAACACCAGACAGCTGAGTTGAGTTCAGTGACAGTTGGCAGATGTCAACGATCGTTGGCTTAATGACAGTTAAGAGCGCTAGTGTAACTATGGTATAATTAATTAAAAAAATTGGATTAACGCTTTGTTCTTAATTATTGGTTTTAGGGGTCATAATGGAATTTCAATATGGACGGCAATAACCTATTAGAGGTCTATCCAGTTTCAAAAAGATTGTGAAAAGGTAATCATAAGTAAGATATTGCCGCGCGCGCGGTAGCGCGCCCGTGGTTTTCACGCGAAAAGTTAGGGTTCGATTCCTGGGAGCGACGTGTCTTTTATTTATTCTTTCTACTTGTCATTCTCGCAAGTTCGAAAACTTTCTCGTCTCACCGAGTTTACGAATGTTCTACGCGCCGAACATTCTAGGCCGAATGTCCCAGAAACCCACGCCGGTACAAAAGGTGCTCCGCGTGGCGATCCGGAGTCAGTCTCGCCCAAGCGCTCAATCCTGCTGTTTCGCCGACATCGACTCCCGCGACGCTAGCCTTTCTCTATTTTTGTTTTGGGCACAAGTTCGCTCCATTAAACGTTTAGTTTCTTCGCGTTTTTCCGCCCATTTTAAGAATCGCGCTCAACAAAGAGCGTCGCAAGCCCTGCCCACAATGACGCTTGGAAGTGTAAAGTCGTCGTTTCAATAACGTCGTCACCCCTTGGTGGGTGCGCTTATATTATGTCGTGACGACATCACTAGTGTGATGTCGTCACACTAGTGACGACATCACTTAAACGACCACGTCACTCTTCCAAGCTTCCTCTTGGGGCTCGGTGAGCTCTTTTTGCGCGCAATTCTTAAATCGGGCGATAGAACGAGAACATTGATAGATTATTATCTAAAATAAAAAAATATCTACATTTTCGCATATTTTTATAAATTGGTCTGGCCTCCAATAGTAATTGCCGGCAATTCTGCAACTTATTCATTGGTGGTGTGTGCGCGGCTGCTCAGCGCCTGCTGACGGCGAGCTTCCGCGGTTCTATTGCAACGTGCATTCCCCACAATCAAGATTGCCGGTCTTAGCGTGGCTAATAATGTGAGCTCGTTCTGGGCATGCGCTGTAAAGAACGCCCTCAAATATGGTGTCCAGTGAATACCCCCTTTTCCGATATAGCTCCTAAAACCGATCATTTAAATGTTAATTAAGAAATTTCGGTTAATTAGTCAACTTAGCTTGACGATTATTCTTCATCTAATGTCCGCCGAGTTTAAGGAATACATGGTGAAGTCCAAATTTCACCCCTTTACCAACTCTTCTAGCGTCCAACACTCACCCCTTTCTTTTTCTTTTTAAACAAAATGACAACGGAAAGCAATAACATATACCTTCAGCGTGCGGATATCGAAGTGTGCGAAAGCATAACTATTAGATACATTGAAACCAAACACCTATCGGAGGTGGAAGCTTGTGACACGTTTTCGCAGAGGCAAGACTATACTGCATATACCGAGAATTACAAAGGGGTCCAGAAATGGCGCGATATCACAACTTTAAATTTTTTAAAAATTATAGAACTCGAGACTTTACTAATCCACAGGTTGCACGCAGCTGTGGGAGTTAAAAAAAAAAGTATATTAATGTTACGGATGAATCGGGAGTCGCATGCACACCGTAAGGACGCTTAAATGCACCTCCTTATAACTAGTTAAATATTATTAATTATTTAAATTAATTTATTTAGGCTCAACCTGGCTAAATTTACCGGCAGTGTGAAGATTTTTCGTGTCGCTCTTTCGTAACGTTACGCCCATCTCGTGTAAACCAGCCCTACATCAAACTCCGTGTTGAAAGCGGGATAAAAACGAGGCTAGCATATTGTTTTGTAGTGCGATTAAGGGAGCCCATTACGAGGTCTCTGAGAAAAAACACTATTGGAGCTTGTGGCGCAACATATCTCACAGGGGCCAAGGGCGCGGTCACCGTCATTCCGTAGCATGCGCGGAGGTCGCGTTAATTTTTACCGATTAAAAACCAGGCTTCGTCTCACCCCACGATGGGCGAACGGAACTTGAGGCTCCTCTTGGCGTCACCGACGAGGTCGAAGAGCTCCTTGGACGGCCGCATGATGTAGGCCATCAGCTGGCCGAACCACCAGGCGTACGGGTCCCCGTGCAGAAGCACCAGGTGCTCTGCCAGCACGGGGGGAAGCTCGAGGATCGCACTGCGGGCCCTGGACACTGAGCGGAAAGAGGACCTCTGAGCAGCCGACGAGCGTGCTGATGGACCTTCGGCGGTCCCGGCTGGTATGCGCGTGCCTATCACACGGAACTGTTCATTTTCACGGCGCACGGGGTTCGACCGTAGTGCACGCGCACCGTGCTCGCTCGCACTACAGCGGGGAGAAGATGCATCACTCGCGGTCTGGAAGAGTCACCACAAGGCGGCTCTTTCACCGAAAGCGCAATCGTAGTACCGGATACTTCGCTGCAAAAATAAATACGAAAAGATATAGACCAACACGCGGCCCTGACGTCACGAAGCTGCGGTGGCGCTGCCGACGGCACTGCGCATGCGCAAACGCTTCACACCACCCGAATTAAGTTTCTGCGCACGCGCATTGCCCACACCTTGAGTGGGCAAACGCGGGCTTGTTTGTAAACAGCGTGTCGGTCTATACTGCACGCTTACACACAAAAAAGAAAAAAAAGCTCTTGAGTGATTTTTTTTTCTTTTTTTGTTTAGAGCGCAGTTTTTAGGCGTTTTTTTCCGGGTTGAGCGGCGTCGGCGTAATTGCGCGCGTTGCACTATAAAACGTTTCCCCGCTAAATTTTGCGGGGAACTTGACGGCACGTGACCTCAACACAAATTCAGTTTCCCCACTATATTTAGCAGGGAAAATGACGTCACGACTTCACGTCACGTCACCCATGAACAAATTCACTGGCAGGAGGAGAGGAGGAGGAAGGGAGGAGGGGCATACCCGCCGCTCCGCACCTTCCCCTCCTTCTTTTCAAGAGCTGCGCTCTAGTTTCGCATTACCGAAATTTGTAAACGTCTTTCATTTTTTTTTTTTTTTTTTAATTGAACAGCACCTGCATAGACACTACCTGCATGTAAAGAGCAATCTCGAGAGCAGTTGTCGCAGTGCCTTATGTGGTCTGATGAGGCATTTACGGTGATGCCTGCGTATGCTCTATCAGCTTTCCATATAAGAGCGTAGAAGCGTGCGTGGCTTCACGACGAACGTGACACCCACTGTTTTCTCCTGGCCACCTGGACTCCGGGTCGGGCTTCTCCGGGCACGCGAAGCTGAGCGGCAGAAACACTGAGCTCCACCCAGAAGGCGCGTAGTGCCAGGGCTCCGAATCGACGACCACCGGTCGCCCGAGCTGAAGACCCCTCACCAGGCACCACAGAACGTCGTGGATCGCCGACGAGAACCCGTACCGGTTCGAGAGGCGGCACGTGAGCACTTGGGAGCAGTTCCTCTCGTTCTGGTTCTTCTCTATGCTTCTGCGAACGTGCTGCTTGAGCTTGAAGAGCGAAGCGCGTTTTCGCTTCGTCAGGCCCGTCTCGTGCGCCAACATCTTGAGATTTCCGGCGAGAAGCTGGACGTGTTCCCGCGCCTCAGCCGAAATGGCGGCCAGGCGGACGGCGAGTGCATTGGGTGCCCGGACGATGGCCGTGCGCAGGTGGGCAGTCAGGAAGCGTTGCAGTTCTCGAAGGCTCAACTCGGCGTGGTGATGAAGGGCCGTCGGGGTGTTGAAGCCCACGAACCTGCCGCTGGCGGAGAACTTGGCGCCGCTCACGAGTCTCTCGATCCCTCGGACCTTGGCGAGTCGCCGCAACCGGACCCTGTGTGTGAGGGTTAGTCGTGAACACACGAAACACTTTTAGTGCTCTTAGGGGTGTAAATCAACTTGACCTGGGGTTACACTCCCTTTCAACGATGAACCGCAGCAGACGCTATGAAGACATCCCCGGCAATCCAATGCTGTGAACACACCACGTGACTACGTGACCCGCGCGTCGCTGTGGCCCTCAGGTGGTGACACTCGTACGACATTATTCGATGACTCGTACCGACCTCCGCGATCCATCGTAATGTAAAACGCATTGCGACAAACTAAAAAGACGGTGGCGCCAGAGTGAAGAATAAAAATCATTATGATTTAATTTTGTACTACAGTCTTACTACGATGATTTAAATCGAACCTTTTCCGCAAAAATATTCTCAAAAATATTTACTTTTTATTTACCGTTTGTCTGGTATTTGATGCTCTCTGTGTGCATATGTTTTGTATTTCAACCGAGGAAACGCCAAGCAAGAAGGATATTGATATTAGGTTGAACACGGAGCACAAACCAGTGGTCTTGTGAACGATTGGGAATGTTGAGCTTTCTTTCTTCCTTTCACTGAGTTCGTCAGTTACGTAACACCCTATTGCGGGAAAATCAGAACGCAGAAGAAAAAGCCAATAAGGCCCTTTCACTAACTTAAAAATCACAAGCTGATTTTTTTTTCTTTTTTTACTCTGGCGGGGTTTATTCAATAAGAAGTTAGTTAAACGGTGCTTTAAATTTACTGTAATTATTCCTTGCGCGTTGTTTTCAGTGATTGGATGGATTTATTCATCAATCTGTCACGTTTAAAAATACATCCATTGATTAAAAAGCTCTATTTTATGGCTACTTTGATTTATATCAAATAATGTTATTTAAATCCAATAACTGATCTATATGAGTTTTTTTTTCAATCCTGATTGGCACTGACTAACACCCTGCTTTAGGGCTAACACCTTAAAGGACGGGACCCAAACCGAAAATAATTACCGTTCGGTTATGGCTTATGTTATACTTATGAAATTAGTTTTGGTTTCGGTTTTTATACTGCGGTTACCGGTTAAGAGTTTATATATATATATATCAGTGTGCCGAACCGAAAAAAATACGGGTTCGGTTACGGTTCAGGTTCAGGTAAATTTATTTTGTTCCGGTTCAGTTCCGGTTCGATTATTTCGATCCGCGAACCGGTTCGCGAACCGGTTCGGGGCGCTGAACCGGTTCGCGAACCGGTTCGGAAATTATAAATGACAAATTGCAACATCAAAATAAATTACAAATAAAACATCTGAAATCAGCAGGACACCGATGAAAACAAATGAAACGTAGTCGAAACTAGTAGTGCATAACCATAACGTTTATCAAAGCCTGTAGCCAATGCAAGCGGCAAACAACGACTGTCTGATGACAGGGCTGTCTGTCACGGGCGCTAACTCCAGCGTCTGCTGAGCGTTGGTTTGAGCGCACGCGCCCGCTTGAGTCCCATGACTACACTGGGCAGGCGACGGAAGCAACAGAAGCTCGGCAGATCCTTTGTCAAATTCGAAAGTGCGCGCAGCTTCGCTTCTCCGCGAGCGACTAGGGTTTGTATCCCTGTTTTTGTTCCCCGCATTTATCGAGTTTCCAGTACGAAAAAATACGGCATGTGAACCTTGACACTTCATAGCTCGATATACTCTCACCGGTGGTTGGGGCAGCGAAGAGCAGATATAATTCATGAATGCTCATTTCAACTGTAAATAAATTTTCTTTCTCTCCCTCAAACATTATCGAACTCCACAGCCTTTTCTTTTCTCATACCGATGGAAGCAAGCTTCAAGAACTCGCGCGTTCTAGAAACGTGTTATGAAATGAGCACACAGCAGCATTTAGGATTTACAAGATTGTAGGAAAAAAAAATCCCGTGACGCGATTTCTTTTTTTTTTTTTTTTTTGCACAGCCTTCCAATTTTCTTTCTTCCATGCAAGCCGCGACCAGCGCAATACTCGTTCCTATGTCAAGATTCATGGATGCAGCGTTTGTCAAGATTCATGGATGCAGCGTTTCTATTCCTAAGACTGAGTGGAGAAGAAAAATATGTAAGCGAGGTGTGTGTCAGTTGACGGCACTTAAAAAACAAATGGCATTGATAGCACATTCATTGTCAACAGCGCGTGGCCGAACCGTTTTGACATGAGCCGGTAACCGTTATTTTTTTTCCGGTTCGGGTTCATCGCGATAACAATATAACGGTTCGGGTTCAGTTCCGGTAAAAATACCGGTTCGGTTCCGGTTCGACACCCTGATATATATATATATATATATATATATATATATATATATATATATATATATCAGGGTGTCGAACCGGAACCGAACCGGTATTTTTACCGGTATATATATACTCAACAAAGTATTAGCCTTTAAAGGAGTTAGCCGAGGAGGTTGCCAAAAAAGTGAGAGTGATGAAACGTTTCGGGCCTGGTAGGCTCTTCGTCAGTCAAGTGAGAAGACTCGTTCTCCTTTTCTTTCAATGAAAGAAAAAACGGCCGGAAAAAAGAAGAAGTTAATTGAAAAAATGCTTACCGTTTAGCGGGTACCTACTCAACTAAATTCTCGCTTAAAAGTTTAATATATCCCGATACCAATGGAATAAATACTATGGAAATAATTACATATAATATTATTACTGCCATTCTTATCATAAAACCAGTTTTTGGGACATGTGGTTGGGTATAACCCAACTATACCTGGTGGGTTATACCACCAGGTATAACCCACCATGGGGTTATGGGGGGGGGGGGGGGGGGAGCAAAAGTGGGGTGCTTTATTCCAAGCTGGTAATCAGAAAGAAATCATTTTATTCCTAATAATGTTGAAATTCAGGGTTTTCAATTGATAAGTAGTTAGAAATGAATATAGATAATTGCAAGCATGGCGCCTCCCATGAGTGCAAGCATGTTCAGCTTGCGCGTGAACATAGCTTTGGCAAGCTTGTCCGCACGAGCAAAGACATGACGGGAGCTGTTTAAGAAAAAAATAATGTTTTCGCAATGAGGTTATTAAAGTGTGGAAAACACATCCTAACGTGATATAAGACATGGGCCCCCTCTAAGGTGGGCCCATGTCGAGGGTGGGAAAATAAATAGGAGAATATAAATAATGAAATACTAAATAAACTGATCTAAATGAACAGTTAAAGGGAAGTTGAAGCGGTTCTATATGTGAGTAAAAACACTGAAATCGTCTTTAGTTGGCTTCCAGGATCAGGAATATCACGATGATTTTTCAATTTGGAGCACGGAGGCTGCGGAAAATAATTTTCAAAGTGTCACTGAAGTCACTCCTTCCAGGTGCGTTACGCCATAAAAGGAGTATGGCCAGCTTTTCTCCACACGCCCACACGAGCGACACGCGCTTGGCGGCCGAAAGATCATTTCATGACGTAACGACTGACTGGAGGTTTTTCGTGTTTTTTTTTTTTTTTTTTTTTTTTGTTTTGTTTTTAGATACGCCGTAGAGGAAAACGAACGTGATATTCCGATTCACGGGATAAAAATACTCTAGAATTCATCTCTAACCTAGAGCTAAAATTGAATGGAAAAAAATAATAAGGTGAGTATATGAATATACGAATTTTCTAGTAGTAGTTTCGAATAATATGCTCTTCGATATTCGCTTCGAGATGAACTGCGATATTAGTACTTCCGAAGTGTCGATCGTAGCGGGTGAGCTACGCTGAGTGCGCTTTTTACGGAGCAACTGTGCACTGCGGGGAAGCAATGCCTGCAGGGCCCGCGGGATCCGCCGGTATTGCTTCCCCGCAGTGCATGCCTGGGAGAAGCGCGCTCAACGGGGGTATCCGACCGCAGCAACGATGTCTTGACAATCCGCATTCATACTTCTCGCATTTTTTTTCCCTTTTTGTTAAATGTAAAATTGGTATAAAATTGTTATGTGGCAAACAGACTTAGAAATCCCATTAATTGGGTCAGCTGCAACAAATTTGATGTTTACATGCCGCAGTTCATAAATATAGTTACCTGGTATTATTTGAAAATTAATTGAGTTTAGAAGTGGACAAGTAAATAGAAAAAACATCCACGAGCTAAGCTGAATTTTCGCTTAATCATGGTGCACGGTAGTGAGAAGCTCGGAGAAACTATTTGATATTCGATTCGTAGAATATTCGGCCAAATCCACTATTCACTTCGAGCTCAAAATGCATTATTCGCACATGCCTAATACTTAATTTTAATATCAATGTGTTCCTACTTATGTCATTACAAAATATTTGTGACCCAGAAAACTCACCTGGCATAAATCAAAGCGCATAAGTATACTTTGGTATATTAACACAGGGCAGAAGGCTAATGAGAATGGTAGATCAGACAATATGCAATGGTTATGACACGTGACACTAAACATCATATACATGAGAATGCAAAAAGAATTAACATAGTTAGACAGTCATTAAACAGTGGACTACGAATAACAATGCTGGTGATGACAATGCACAATAAATCATAAGGCGAGAAGCCCCTTTTTTATGCAGTTTTTTTTCTAATTCTTTTTTGATACATTAATTTGCGCTTTTGATACGCGTCGGAACGCACTTTCTTTCTTCCTTTTTTTAGGCGCGTTTAGTTTTAAATTGGCGGCTGCGGGCCGGGCGTCACTGGAAAGACCGTGGCCGTCCGCGGGCCGGGGTTTGGAGACCCCTGATATAAGAGGTCAATTGGTCTTTTCGATTTTTTTATGAAGCATTGTTCTTTACATATAATCATCTGCATGCGTGGCATCTTGGTCTCCATCTCATGTATGCCTGTCCGGTCTTTGGAGATATCTGAATTGAGAGATCGCTCTCTCAACATCACAACTCTTACAATGCACTTTTTTTTTTTTTTTTTCTGGTCAAAATGGAAGGAAAAAAGGACAAAGGATAAGTTGCAATGGTCATATACAAACAACATTTTATGGCGCGTTTACACTTACGGATTCGCGGGCGGATCCGCGCAGGCGGAAAGTGAATTTTGTAGCCGAGGGGCGAAATCGACCCGTCACTGGCGGAAAATCTGGATCAGCCTGGGACCGCCCGCGAATCCCCGCAAGGGTAAATGCGCCATTAAAGAGATACTTCAACGGCCACACCCTCTTCCCGAGAATCCCTTTTGTGTGTCCCAGAAGTCGCTATTGTCCCCCTACAAGGTTATAGAGGATTAACCCGCCACTAAAAATTCCTACAAAAGCAGCCGCTTCGGTGGCTGGAACGACTAGGCCATCCTCTCGATGTCAGCCTCGCCGTAGCTTTGCACGTCCCGAGACGAACTACGTCACGATTGCGTTGGATGTCACATGCTCTCCGCTGGCCGTTCTCCGAGCCCTTGCCAGAGTGGGCCGTTTATAACGAAAAATGCGGCCACCAGGTTGACAATACAAACGTGCGATTGTCATTTACGGACATTGGTGATCATATTCAACCTATTTTTGAACACGACGGGTATATTTCAAATTTCGTTGAAGTATCTGTCACTCCAGTTCAATGGTGACATGATCTAACATTGTTTCTGAGTTCCGGAGCTAGCGTACCTGTTCCCACCAACTTTTTGTTTCATAAAAAAATATTTCCGGGGCAAAGTAATCCTGAAAATGGTATAAAAGTAAATTTTATAAATTCAAGTAAAAATTAAGATTAACCCGATTTAAAAAAAAAAAAATGTTCGGGATGTAAGTATTGGAAAATATCGAGTTTCTTTTTTTCTCGTTTTCCATTCGTTTCTTGTTGCAGTATAAGGTACACGGCAACAAGATAAAATGGTAAACGAAAGAATATATTCACAATGTTTCACCGAATATCGGCCAAATGTTTTACGTAAAAATTACGCATAGCACGGAAACTCCACAAGTTTTTGATGGGAACGAAACGTTAATTTTTACGAACCAAAGTGTTAATTATGTAACACTAATTAAGGACTTAGTTATGCGAAAAGCTACGTACCTCACTACGGCACCACTTGATTTTTTTCTTACGCGATGCTTAGTTTTCAACAAAAAAAAAAAAAAGTTTCTACAATGTCCGGTGAAATGTTACAGACTTGTGTGTCCAAGTCTGCAACTTTTCAACGAACATCGTCGAAAAGGAAGAAAAAAAAGCAATGGACACTAGGTTTTCTTTTCTTTTGAGATCGTAGAATGCTGCACAGCATTTCAAGGTCTCGAAGGGAAAGGAAAGCTAGCATTTGGTTGTTTTCCTTTCTCTTTTGACCTATTCACTCGCTGAAATGTTCGCTCTTCACTCGATGAAATGTGTGCGCATCTAACAGTTAGAACCTCCATTAGAGCCCGACATTCCACAGTTGTATGATTTCCTTCGTATATTACGAGAAAACGTTGGTACCGCAGGGTAAGGGCATCCCGTAAATCAGTCGAGAAAACCTCTCGCATTTGGCTGGTGCGAAATCAAGAACGATTGGATTATCAAAAATGGATGACGCCGAACTGAGGATTCCGCGTCGGTACATCGCGGTGTGCCAACGAAACTCACCAGACGGGGGGCTCGGACATCGCCGGTGGAATTCCGAACTGCTGCATTATGGTCAGCTTGACGTCTTCCTGTGGAGGAGGCGATCCCTTCTGGCTCTTCCACACCCAGACCACGGATGCCACCCCGAAAAGCAGCAGAAGCCACCGCTGCCGGCGCATCATCGGTGCCGTCAACTGGCAGCCGCCCGTCGCGATTTCGCCTTTCCCAGGACATTTCCGTCGACAAAAACGCCGCTTTGTTCGTTCGCTTCTTTGTCCCCTTTTCTGTGGTCGGAGCCCGTTGAATGGCCGCATCCGCTGCCATGCCGTAACCTAAAAGAAATGCTGACGAGCCACATGCAGACCACAAGGAGCGCTGACGTCCTGCTAAACGCGTCGCATTGTTGACGTCCTGTTGGTGACTGGCTTCTTTTATTTCGGCAGCCACCCGCCACCTCTCGCTGGTATCGAAGCCATTACTGCTGTCATGTATACAACGAGTTTGAATTTTTTTTTAAGTTTTGTATTTGCGATTGTTGTACTAAAGACCGAAGCAACCCCTAAATAACTCAGGGTGTCAAAAAAAAAGTAAGCTGCATTTTTTTTATAGAACACAAAAATAAGGGGTATACTCACGTCATGTACAGTCACAATCTTAAATGAAGCACGGGAAAAATTTTAATGAGGAAAAAATTTAAAACGTAATAGCGCGATCGGGCAACGAGTTGTGTGAACCAAAGATATATAACAGAGATGTAATGTTCCATCGAGACAAATACATGAAATCAATGCCAGAACATGTATACTAGCACGTCGAGAAACACCAAATATGTAGAGTAGGCTTAATGTTTGTACCCGTTTAGTGTAATTGTGACAATATGTTTGTTTAAAAGTAAAACCATTATTATTTTGTGACATAGTCGACTAAGGACTGTGAGTGATTAACTTTTCCATTCTTTTATAGAAAAAGATGGCCAGGCCATGCTGAAAAATCAGTAGCTTTGGTGTTTGGTCAGACGAGAGGGCCGACACTTCCCGGACGCGGTTCTGTCTCAACCATCTAAAAGGGGGAGAAGTTGCGTATGTCAGCGCACGGCAGCTCGGAGCGCAAGCTCGCGCTGCAGCAGGGATCCTAGCACTATTCCCAATCCTGCCAAATGTTGCTCCTGCATGTTTTGATTTGTGGATGAGCATCCCACTGGCGTGTGATCGTTAAAGATCCCGGGTTAGCAGTGGTACAGCACTGGCTAAATCTCTCCTCTATGACGGATATACCGGAGCCAGATTGGGGCTGACTAACTTCCCGCTGTCCAAACACACACGGAGCATAATTCAGTTATGCAACAATTTTCCAGTGGTCAAGCTGTCCAGAGTCCAGACAGTGGCCAAGCGTTGGATCTTGGCGCTGCTCGCAACCTTGTTTGGCAAAGTCAGTAATAAAACAAGAAATAGACAGTTGACAGTACTGCAGTTCTAATTTTGTTTATTATGATAACATAGATTTTAGTAACCGCTGCAAGTTTGTGTTCCGTCGATGAAATTTATCTTTAACATGCCCGGGTTTGGGGAAGATTGAAGGCACCGATTTCGTGTGCCACACCAGAACCTGAAAAGGAGAGCATTCCGGCTTAGTGCATTGACGTCACTATCCGATGTTATGTATGATTATGCTTGGAAATACGTGTACATCTATATGGTACACTAATTAATTAGTACTTTATTCGAGCTCTTCACTGGAGCCTATGAACAGACACGAGGAACAAGGACACAATAACTACACGAACAGTGCACACGCGTCCACTAGCTTTCAAACATTCGTTTCTCGTTCGAGCATTGTCCCCTGTCACGGAACCTTCGAGTCAGGCACGCGTGACAGCTTTCCGGAATTCATTGGCCCTTCGAGACATCCCTAAGTTACAAACGGTCGTTTTTTTTCTTTATTTTTATTACCTCGCAGGTGTTAACAAATCACGTTCGTTGAGCCTAATATAGGTTGCGGCTATAATGGATACATTTTGCTAGTTCGTGGTGTTCGGTTTGTCGGCGCTGGAACTATTTATTTTTCTAGAGCAATTAAAGTGGGACAAATAGGTTTGCTCGAATAAGCGGGAAGTGATGTGACTGACGCTTCGGAATACCACCAATCTGCAGTGCGTCTGGATGTGGGTGGTGTTGTTGTGTAACGGAGCATAACCGGCTGATACGTTAATCACCCGACGGAAGGTTGAGCTGTATTGTTTTGCGAGGAAGGGATCGACAATCCTCCGTTGTCTCGAAGTGCAGAGAGAATCTCCCGGGAATTTAAAGTTGTGGAAATGGCCAAATATATACTGTCCAAACATATTTCCATATCTTAAACGAAGCGGCCGTTAGTCCTGCTTTCCACGTACACTAACAGTTGTAGAATACATGTATATTTTTAATGAGCAAAGTTTACAATGCAGGGGCCACCTATTGTGCCCAGGAGACTGATCAGCCGTGGTCACATTGTTCATACGTCGTACAAACGACAGTCCGCAGACGCTGCGTGAGGAGTGTTACTTTCTTCTGTAGCGGTCGCTTTGGTCAAACAAAAACTGCCTGCATACATATTCGAAGCATGTATGAAGCAATGGCATGCTTGTAAGATGCATGAGGCCCTCAGGTACTTATGGCACCATGTCTACAGCGGAACACCGCACCTTTTGTACGGTGTATCGAGCGGTGTGACTGGGGTTTTAGAGCTCGGTGATTTCCGTCACCGCAGCGATTTCACACTATCTACCCCGTGTCCCAAATAGCGGCCAGGCTCTTTAAATCGACCGCAAAAAACGGTTTCTTAACCTATCGCGTTCTGATTTTGTACAGCGTTGGCCACAGGTGGTGCATTTTTTCTATAATATTTGCAAAGAGCGAAATTACCTGAGGAGAAATTAAAGAAAGAAAAAGGCTGAACTCCTATGGAAACGCAGCGAAGCCAACGGTCTTCAAACCATAGGGCGCCCTGGTTTGAAGACCGGTGGCTTCGCTGGATTTTTATAGGAGTTAAGACTTTTTTTTTCTACTTTTTCCTCAGGTAAGTTCGCTCTTTGCAAATGTTATAGAAAAAAATGCACCACCCGTGGCCAACGCTGTACAAAATCGGAACGCGATGGGTTAAGAAACCGATTTTTGCGGTCGTTTTAAAGGGCCTGGCCGCTATTTTTTGGCACGCGGCATATAGGGGTTTCATTTCTGCCAAGGCGTTGGATACAAGACCAGGTTGACCGCTGGAGCCGGATTCGGCTGTCACCACCCCGAAGTACCCTCTTACTACGTCGACGTAATCCCTACGACTGCACTGACGAGCTCTGGATGCTGAAGGCTAGACGCATAGAACCAGTCCGTTTCTATTCTTTAAATTACACGGCGACAAGGTAGCACGGATACGAGCGTCGCGTGGGAATTGAGGTACTACCTGCGCCGCACGTATGTCAGTATGATCGGTATGATCGTGTATACAGGGCGCATTTAAGTTGAAAGCTATTCGTTTCCTAGATCTTAATAAGTAGTTTGCTGTTAAAGAAATCCGCTTACACACGCTGCCACCCCCCCCCCCCCCCCTTGACGCTGCAACAGCATTATATATATATATATATATATATATATATATATATATATATATATATATATATATATATCAGTGTGTCGAACCGAAAAAAATACGGTTTCGGTTACGGTTCAGGTTCAGGTAAATTTATTTTGTTCCGGTTCAGTTCCGGTTCGATTAATTCGATCCGCGAACCGGTTCGCGAACCGGTCCGGGGCGCTGAACCGGTTCGCGAACCGGTTCGGAAATTATAAATGACAAATTGCAACATCAAAATAAATTACAAATAAAACATCTGAAATCAGCACATACGAAACGGGATACATCGTAGTGTAAGGCTCAGGAATTTCTACCAGGAATGGTCTCTTCATGTGCACTCAAAGGTTACCTCACCGACGTTTACGCATTCGGGCTTCATCTAATTGGGTCCGACGCAGTAGCTGTAAAATCCGCGACCTCCTTACAAACCCACTTACAAGTAGAACTCGCTATCTATCCCGCCACCTCGGCGTGTAAGCAATTGAAGGAACAGGAGAAAATACAGCTTTCTTTGTTTGAACTAGCCTTCGGTAACTCAAATTAGACCCTTAAAGAAGTTTTCATTAAACAAGATACGGAATATGAAAAACACTTCACCGAACGCAACGCCAGAAGGACGTAATAGGATAAATATTAAAATAGAAGAGTTCGCTGTCTCACAAATATGTTAGCTTCTAAGTGCCTATACGAAACCGGATGCATTATTATCAAACGCCACAGCCTTTTCTTTTCTCATTCCGATGGAAGCAAGCTCCCAGAACTCGCGCGTTCTAGAAACGTGTTATGAAATAAGCACACAGCAGCATTTAGGATTTACGAGATTGTAGAAAAATGAAATCCCGTGACGTGATTTTTTTTTTTTTTGCACAGCCTTCCAATTCTTTTTCTTCCGTGCAAGCCGCGACCAGCGCAATACTGGTTCCTATGTCAAGATTCATGGATGCAGCGTTTGTCAAAATTCATGGATGCAGCGTTTATATTCCTAAGACTGAGTGGAGAAGAAAAATATGTAAGCGAGGTGTGTGTCAGTTGACGGCACTTAAAAAACAAATGGCATTGATAGCACATTCATTGTCAACAGCGCGTTGCCGAACCGTTTTGACATGAGCCGGTGACCGTTATTTTTTTTCCGGTTCAGTTCCGGTTCGGGTTCATCGCGATAACAATATAACGGTTCGGGTTCGGGTTCAGTTCCGGAAAAATACCGGTTCGGTTCCGGTTTTCGGTTCGGTTCGGTTCCGGTTCGACACCCTGATATATATATATATATATATAGGAAGTTCTCTTCCATATTCCTCTCCATCCATTGAACAGTGGTGAATGGTCATTTAAACTCCGATTATATGCTATGCGTAGTATATAATAGGCTTGATGTACTAATGTATGTTTATACTTCAGAGGTACTTGGCGAGTATATTTTGAGATAGGAATCATCTAAAAAAATCCAGTGCGTCTGCTTTCCAGTAAAGCACTTGCAGGGGAAGCCAATCCCTGCAATCCATGGAGCAAGCTTGGCGAATAACGAGACTGAAAACGTCACGCTTAGTGTCACTGCGAAGACCCCTCTTGTGTTCAGGTCTAAACATACTTTCATTCCCGTCCTCTCCCGAAATTCTTCCGTGGATTGTTGGGATTTTAGCTTAGGACTTTGCGGGAAAGTAGACGCACTGCCGTAGTATACATTTCGCGTCTGATTACTCTCCCTGCATGCTAATAAATACGAAGAACGATATTTTAAATATGCCGCTTATCTTGAAGATAATGGTTTTCCTTCGGTTTCATTTCCCTCATCATCCTGTGCCCAAAGCGGACGGCAGTCGCACCGGGACCTGCCTGAGTGCAGTTCCGCGCCAGCGGTTCCAGCTGGGCGGTAGTGACGTTGAGGCTCTCGAGGAAGCGAGTTTCCTGCATCCCGAGCACGTAGGGCATGTCCGGCTGGCCGTCCAGCACCAGCCGCAGGTTGACCGCGAAGCCCGCCATGTCGACAGGGAAGGTCCGTCCCGAGTCGAACGAGTCGTGGAAGCCCACCACGCGTCCGGCCACCACCACGGGGCTGCTCACGCCGAACCGGCCCACCAGTCCTACGGGGAGCACGCCCACCTTCCGGACCCACCGGATCTGCACGGAGAGAGCCCGGAACGGACGCTGCCTGCCAAAGCGCATGGAGGCTGCAGAACGAACTGAAGGACCTATAATTATAATGCAATTAAATGCAAAGGTGCAAGCGAGCTGGACAAGAATGATGAAAATAAACCCTGGAGAAGGGGAACAAGAGGGACAAAGGACAAACATAAATTTCCAAACCTCTGTGCCGTTCTCACTCTGTCAATGCAATGCCACTTAGAAGACGAGGCCTTCTCATGACGTCATCGCTAGTGGATCCCCGACGACGCCAAAGCTTGACCAGAGTCACCGCAAAGCGGCACACGCGTCCGTCTTGGCGTCGCGCTCGTTGTGAGACGGATGCACTAAGCGTGTTGGCGGCGATGCTGATGCAAGCTAGGCGGCACGCTGCGTCGATCCACCAGTCATGATGTTTGGGAGGAGGCCTTGTCTTCTATGTGGCATTGAAGTCACTGGATGGCTGCTGAGAAAGCGCAAAGCTCCCCCCTATGGTCGCCATTCTGGCTCGGAGAACGCAGTTTTTCCTTGACCTCTCCATTCTTGGTGAGCCGATCTAAATTCGCTCGTGACGGATAGCTTTTTGTAATACAGCACTTTCACACGCAAGGAGCCGCGTGCGGCTCGCGAACCGCAGCTTGGCCACCTTTGGCTCTGGTATGACATCACTGCCATAACTTGCAGCACTTCCCGAGCTCTAAAGGCTGGTTCACACATTTGCGACTGCTTACGGCTGTTATATCTCGTGTGGTACAGGTTGGAGAGAACTTTATTTTTCAATTTGGTTTTGTCTCTCTCCACTTAGACTTCTGCTTACGACCGGAGATGCTAAAAGCCGGGTTTAAACCTTTAAGGCAAAAGCCTTACTTGTTTCATTACGCGAAAGAGATGCGGCTTTGTGCCTGAACGATAGTCACACCAAAACGTCATCAGGCACGCGCCTCAAAAGTAAAACACAAAGGAAAGCACAGCAACGCAGATGCTTCGTCGCGGAAGGCGTCGTGAAGCTGGCGGGGTTCGCCGCACCAGTGGGGGAGTGCGATGTCACCGACGGAGCGCCGTGTGAAAAAGGAAGATGTGGCGCGCTGCTTGTAAGAACGCACTGCGGGTAGGAATGCCTTTCGCATTCCTAGACGTAAGCAATCGTAAGCGTCTCTGCTGAATTTTCTTTTTACTACTTCTGACTAGCTGCGCTGTGCGCAGACGGTCGTAAGCAGTCACAAAAGGCTTAAAACCCTGTTTCTAGACGCAAACGACGTTCGTCGGCCGCTATGTCGCGCCGAGAAGTGCCTGAACCACTGTACAGTGGTTCAGGCGTTTCAGAAGCTGGACTGTAAACGCGTGTTTACAGTCCAGCGCGCCTTCATTTTGCGCATGCGCGTCCCCCGTGTCGTCTCGTGTAGGGTATTTCCGTTTCCTGGTCTGTACCAATCACGCGCTCGGTCGGTGTGGTCCGTCCGTATCGTGTGGTCATGCTTCGAAGCAGCGATTTGGGGCAGTGGTTAGCGGTTCGAAAAAATGGAAATGAAGGGGATAACGAGTGCAAACCAAATTTTATTTTCTCCGAAATATCACGCTAATGTCGACGAAACAAAAATCACAATATTGCGTTCGTCAAAGATAGCCGCTTGGCAGGATCGCCGGTGTCGCGTCAAGCGACAGGTGAATCCGCCGCTGGATACTTTGATGAAAGCGATGCACTCGATATTCCACAGGGACATATTTTTGATAGATGGCCAGCGAGCTGTCTTCCTAGCTACACTTTCACGTTGACTCAAGAGCCTGACACCGGTTATCGAAGACAGGGTACGATGGCTAAATTACGCAATGTATACGTTTGAAATTCTAGCGGTGCTTATACAAACAGTACAGGATCGATTTAGTCTCCTATTTTCATCGCATATCGCTACATAGCGTTTGTTGAAACTTTCTGGTCGGCTAAATAGTTCGGATGTTTCACTGGGTCCGCCGTTCCCGTACATTCGACGGCGCTTGTTGTATCGATCGAGAGCGGCTGCCGTGGCGTACGACTAGCACATGACCATATATAGCACACACACTAGGTCATCCTTAATTATTTCTAGTTAACTCTACCTTTGGCGCGTCATCGAGCTTTCAGATTTTGCCCGTAAAACGTGCATGTGCGTCCGGTTCGTAGCTTCTCGGGGGGTAGTGCATTCTCGTCGGAGCAGTCCACGTCCCGCACACACTCGCCCAGTCGTATGCACACCAACACGGGAACATGTGAACAGCACACGACACGCGGCAAGAACGGCACGTTCAGATCGCAGAAATGAGCGTCTCACACACTCCGACTGGTCCCGACATCCAGCTACCCATATGGGGCGCTCACGCGAGGGCTTCTGAGAACGCCACCGTCGTTGGTTTGCGCTCGTCGACGACGCGAATAGAGCATGCTTTATTCCGTCGTCATCTACGCCGACGCGCCCTGGGCGCTACGCCGCCTTGCGCATGACATAGACCCCCGTTCGTAGCCAGCGTCATAGACCCCCGTTCGCAGCCAGCGTCGGCCAACGCGATCGGCTGCTCGTCGACTCTCCTGGGATCTCTTACGACGAGATAACACAATGGCGCAACATATCGGATAGCCGTGGGGCACTTAAAATTTCCCTATATTCCCCCCCTTTTTTTTTTTTTGCCGAAATTTTTTTTTAAATGTTCTAAATTACAATATTTTATATATAGTACGTGCATTTTATCTCGCAAATATTTCAAAACATTCGCTCTAGTGAAATGCAGTTCCAGGGTCACCTCATAGATGCCAGCGTGCCAGTCTGTTCTCTCGCCGCAAGCGATGAGAACTCGGTCGTAAGCGATGGCGATCGACTATGATAACCAGCCTCCAGCCTTTCCGGTCGTAAGTAATCGCAGGTGTGTGAGCCATCCTTTAGGGCCCTCCGATAAGCGTACCAGATCACCTCGTCGAAGAGCCGGAAGTCGTAGGTGTTGTCGTCGTCGGCGAAGTAAAGCACCCCCGGGAGCGAGGCGTTCTGGCGCAGCCATTGCAGCGCTCTGCGGCGGCCCGCGGCACCTCGTCCGGAAGAAGGCTTGCGGTGCTCTTTGGGACAGGGGCCCAGCAAGTGCACGCTCGGCAGGCCGGACCCCGCGACGATCGAGGCCACCTGAGAAGACCCAGAGACCCGCCACACTCTCTCGACCGCCGTCACACATGGTCATATATAGGCTCCTTGCACTGACGTCACATCGCACACTTTTGAACACCAAGTAAGAGGAGGAGAAAGAAGCTGCTTTTGTAAGAATTTTGAGTGACAGGTTAATCTTCTATAATCTTCTGGGGGGAGAATAGCGACGCCTGTACAAATCCGGGAGGTACAAAGGAGGGTCCTGATAAGAGGGGAGCTCCTTCTTCCCCTCTTCTTTGGAGGGCAACGGAAATGACGTCCTGTGCAAGGACCCAAAGGAAACGAGGCTATGCCAACACGTATACGAATTACATAACCAAGTTAGGAAAGATTGAAAGAAAACGCCCGCTTTTATCTTAGAAATTACACCGTAACAAAGCGGTTTCTTGGCCAATGGCTATACTCTGTTCACGCTGAGACTGCAGCCAAAGCTACAAGCGCGAGCTATTCGCGACTCCAACTAACTATAGGTGGCGCCACTCATTTTCCAAGATGGCGGGTTTAGTGAGGGTCAGAGATGCGTGCCGCTGTTGAGCCTGTCTAGTGTGCTGGCTTCACTGAGCGACATAAATTATTTCCGGTAATACGAGGAAGCTAATGTTTTATGAGCGCAGGTCACCTCTTCAACCTGAAAACAAGAACGGTGTTTAGCGTATTAATCACGGAAGGATGCGCGTTTTAATTCTGGAGCGGAACCGAAACTTACCTCTATTTTGGATTTAATTTCTCGATAGAGGTCTTAATTTCGGATTCTTTCATGACTCAAGATGTGTCTCACATCGTAATTATCTACTTAGAAAAGTTGTTCGCGGAAACTTTATTTTGTGACATACTGTTCGATCCAGGCTGATATTCGTAGTTGTTGAAAAAATCAGTGCTCATATCTGTGCGTTCTCGCCGCCTTTTTCTCGCTCAGATAATTGTCATGGGAAATAATGACAATTACCCCAGCACAAGAATAAGAGAATAATTCCAATTTTTACAATATGTCCACGAAACGCATAAACTAATAAACGCTGCTCTCACTGCAACAACCCAAGACGGAATCCGAGTCAGACAGCTGAAGCGTATGTGTGTGTGTTTTTATAGCACCGCGTGACGCGTAGGACTTCATATTACATCCAGCGTTTAACTGCTTGTCTATCTTGATAACTATGTCAGAGTTTTTCATATGCTAAAAAAAAAAGCAACAGAATTATACCTTTTTGAAAGACAATTATGGCAAAATAGAGTATTCTCGTGATCTTGGCGTTAATTAGAGAGACATACATTGCCGCGATTTGTATTAATAATAATAATATTAAAATTCACATAGTTGAATAAGTAATTCTTCAAGCTCTAATATAATTTGTTGCTTATTATCTAATTTTAAACGCGCGAAGAAATATGACAATGAAAACTGTGCTAATTATCATCACTGGTTCCAATTGCCGCATTTTAATTACAAATAAAATAAAAATAGTCGAAAATACTAGCTAATGTGAGAAATCCACATAAAACTACATTATTTGTGGGTAAAGTATATTGTGCTATCAAAGTCGCGACTTTTGACAATCGGCGAAACGTCCAAAGTCGCCGCCAATATACTTCCAGACCAAATGCCCAAAAGTACAAAAAAAAAAAAAGCTTTTTTTAATTACTAGTTTTTTTCATAACATTTATTTACTTTTGTATTTGCTCGCCGTCGTTTCGCCAATCTCAGCCTTTCCAGTTCGAAGGAACGCATACCTGCTTGCACGTCTGCTCACTGCAGCACGTTTCGTTGGCGTTGGAAGCCGGTGAAACAGTAGTGAGTTTTAACATTGCATGCGTATACGAGCCAACTCAAGCCCTGAGTGTTTGCGTTAGCTTTTCGCGTTCTACACTGCGCGTGCGCGGAACCCGAAATTGCGGTCTTGGATGGCGCATGGCGATGAGGCGCACGCACAACGTGGGGCACGCAACTCTAACGCAAACGTACACCGCTTGCGTTTGCTTCTATGCGCAATACTAAAACTCTCCAGTAAGGTACAATCCCATACCGGCTGCAGCACTACGTTGGGACAGTGAAGAGTGTTGTTTGCATTCGGAAACGACATTTCGCGAGCCATGATCGCGAGCAGTTCCACCCTGCCCGCTGAGCAGGAGAAACGAGGGACCCTCACTAGAGCGCTTCCCGTTTCCGCCGCGGGAGGGCGAGCGTCGAGCTGGAGACGCGAGCTTTGAGGCGTGCATTCCTAGCGCGAGTGCTCGTTCTGCGGAAGAACGCTTCAGAGCAGAGACCTCAAGCTCTCGTGCTTGTGGCATTGGCTGAAGTCTCAGCTTAAAGGTTGGTTCACATGGGGGCGTTAATTTCATTAGCGGTCATAGCTGTGTGCGCGAATGCTGAGCGCGTGCTGACGGCGAGCTTCCACAGTTCTTTTGCAACGTGCATTCCGCACCATCAAGAGTGCCGGTCTTAGCAGCCTATTGATGTGAGCTCGTTCTGAGCATGCGCTCTATGCAGCACCCACAAATATGGCGTCCAGTGAATACTCCCTATACGTTACGTTACGACCGCTTACGTCCCGAGTCATCGGGACATCCGTGCTTCGAATGAAGCGTGGCGACCGGCTCAAGAAGTAGCTTTGCACGCGACATGCGAAACACGAATGCCCCGATGACTCCTCGCGCAACGTAAGAAATCGTAAGGAAACGCCCGTGTGCACCGACCTTAAGGGTGAACGGAGTATAGTGCCAGTAAGCTCGTGAAAAGTGAAGAACATTCCAGCTGAATATCGTTGCACCGCCTATTTGAGGTGAGAATGCAGCCAATGCCACAAGCACAGGAGCACCAGGTCGCTACTTTGAAACGTTCTTCCGCAGAACGAGCACTCGTGCTAGAAATTTCACGCCTCAAAGCCAGGATCACAGGCTAGCTTGCGCTTGTAGCTTCGTCTGTAATCTCAGCTTCAAAATAAATAAAATAAACCGATGTTAAAAAAATACTAATGATGCCAAAGTTGTTGTCGCTACGCTGATTCTGGACGAAATGCGTTTGCATTTAGCGCAGGGGTTCCGAACCGACGAAAAACGGGGATTCTAACCTCGCAACGGTCCGCACTGTTGTGTTCGGTGAGCCAGAATAGGGCTGGGTGCCCTACTCCGGACACTTGGCGAAAAGGTCGGTGAGAAATCCGGCGGTATTCGACAGCCAATCACAGCCGCGGGATTTCTCACTGACTTTTTAGCCAAATGTCCAGATTATAAGCCCCTTAAGCGCGATCCAAACCAACGCTTCTTTTTGCGCCTGTAGGTCGTGCGGCTGCGGATGTGACGCATTTTCGTGACGTCGCGCCGCTTCTTCGCTCCTTCCGGGCGCGCACGAAGAAGTTGGTTGATTTCAACTTCTTTCTCAAGCCGCACAAAAAAGCGCGGTGACGTGCAGGCCGCGCCTGTGTCCCGGCCAATCGGTGGAGGGCAAGCTAGTTCCGGCTCCGCGTTTCTCGCCGTCTGGCTGCCCTCTCCTCCCCCCCCCCCCCCCCCCCCCCCTTTTATTCTCTTCCAACATGACAACGCGATCTCTCTCCCTCTCTCTTTCTCTCGCCGGCCAGTCTGTCGCTGTTGCACTTTGCTTGTGCGCTCGTGCCTGCGTGCGCGCGTGCGCCCCCGCCCGTAGCTGGCCCGTCCAAACCAAAGCGCACGCTTCTGACTCAGAAAGCGCGCCCGGAAACAGCAAAAACGACGCGGAATGCGTCACATCCGCAGCCGCACGACCTACAGGCGCAAAAAGAAGCGTTGGTTTGGATCGCGCTTTATTCCCATGGCGTCGGCGGTTTCGGATGCAGGCACCCACAGCTTCCTCCCTCTCCTGCTCCGCGACGCGTCATTGGAAGCGTGCCAGAACGCCAGAAGACGCTTTCCCTCTTGTAAGAAGGAAAGTGGACGTAACGAGCGAACAAACGGAGCGAATGAGCATGGCGCCGCGGCCACACGAAACCAGTCCAATCCAAACCAGACCACGACCGTCCAAACGAAAAGCGGCTGCATGCACCGAAGCAATATAAAGCATAAAGAAAAAAGATGAATTAGGCACAAAGATGGATGTTGACGATGTTGGTCGTGTGGGACTCTGAAAATGGCGACAACAGGAAGCGAGGTAAGGGTAGAGGGTGTACGCATGCGCAGAAGCTTACAAGAAAAAGATTCATTGGCAATAGTTACGATTCGAAAGTACGACTTCCCAGTTTTAGATAGGGTGTTAGGAAGCTCAGATGGTTTATCTCTGTCGCGGACTATCTTCACATTTCTGGAGGACAGAAAAGCGTTTCCTGCGATTTCAGATTAAGCTTAAGATAACTGGCAGAAATGTGTCGTCACTCCTTAGCGTCTTATATGGTGCATCCATGGAGGTAGGGAGCTTCTGGAAGTGACACCGGGCACCCGAGGGTGACCAAAACAGCTCTGGTTTTGGTCGTCGTTGGGGTCCGGGCGTGCCCCTCCACACTTCTGGCTTCACCTCTGGTGTTACCATGTCGCCTCCAGGAGCTTTCAACCTCCGTGGGTGGATTCAGTCAAAACGGAGCACCGACCAGCTCGGAGCGCCTGGTGGCGTCCTCGACGACGACCCAGAAGACGTTGGTGGAGAGCATGAGACTCTGCGAGACCCGGAGCAGGTCCGGTGCCTGTGTGGGGCGCCGGTACGTGGGTGTGACCACGTACACCGTCGGCGGAGCCTCCAACGGCGTCTCGGAGACTTTGAAGGACCAGGGGCGACCACCAGGCTGCAGGCAGGCCAGGACGCGCAGCGTGGACCTTCCTGCGCCGATGTTTGTTCTGCAGCCGCGCCTGACGGGCCCTCCCGATCCCACTCCCCGCGCGCGCATACAGGGCCACACGTTGTACCGACCTCAGCTTTTAAGTTTTCTGGTTAGAAAATTGTTCGATGTTCTGTCGTTGAATGCCAAAGCCACATCATTTTCGTTCTTTGAATAACCGCTCAAGAAAAGCAAAAAAACAAACAAACAAAAAAAAAAAAAGAACTGTCAAAATATTTATTCGACTAAAATCAAGTGGATGCCCACAGCAGGCTCCCGACTTCGAGAAGTATAGGAATTGTTGCATTGACTTGAAACGCTCATTTATATAATAGAGCTGTCTTTGAAGTCGGGAGTATACGGGTACGTTTCTAAATAATTGTTAGTAGCTTCAATTTCGTGACACAAGCCCTTGACCTAGTTGCTTGCCCATGAAGTTATGA